AATAAAATGTCAGGTCAACTTTCCCAGTGTTTTTACCAAACATGTTCTCATCCTGTTTTCAACCGGTTCCATCCAGCTGGGGCTTCGGTCTGCTGGATATCGTCCAAGGTGTTTGATATGAATGTGCTATACTTCTGTGCTTTTCAAACATTTTGGTTGAGATGACTTTAAGCAAAATTAATTTTTAAAGTTCTGGTAAGCAGAGTAAATATAAAGGGTTTTTACTGTGTAAGGTAGAAGTAGAGAAAGTGAAGTCATGCTGCAGTTGATGATATCGGAGTAATCAGGAGTTTTCTTGGTTCAGATTAGGGAGCCTCTGTGTTATTATTACTCTCATAAGGATAACATGCTTATAAACGTTTGTCAGAGAGAAAATTCTCTGGTGGATTCAACCCCTGTAACACTTCTAACTAATATTCTTTCCTCTACCTTTTGTTCCTCTCTCATAACTCCAGGTTAAATCCTTGACCAGATCTTCCCTAATTCAACTACCGATACAGCTAACTATGCCCCAACTAGGGGCGACTATTTTTATATGCTGGTTCCCAACAGCAATGAACAGCAAAGCTCTTCTTTTCTGCCATTTTTGTTAATGAAATGTGTCAATTGGGCCAAACGGAAAGCTTCAGATTATCTTTATTTGAGGTTGTAGATGAAAGTATCTTATCTCACTTCCACCTCCTCATGGGAAGGTGGCGTTCACCTGACGTGTCTGTCCAGTTAAAAGGGTTTTGTGAATCTAAATGTTTGTACGAGCGAGCTTCAGGAAAAACGGCCATTTTGCGCGACTTTGCGTTTACTCGTAAGTTGTTCTCGTCCTTGATGTCGCTGAAGTTACAGTTGATTAAGTCTCACAAAGCAAATAACCACAGCTTAATATACAGAAATACTGTACAGTGTGTTAATTCATCATTAGCTGCCGTCTGCCTTGACTGACCACCAATGTTTGCTGTCTGCATCTCAGAACTGCACCGGGATGCAGTTCTGAGAAGCAAAAACCTAAAAGCTGTTATTCTGCAGCCGCCCGGTGGTACCGAGCCACATATTGCACCTCAGAGAGAAGGAGAGCGGCAACACAGCGGAATCCTCTCTACTTTTTTGCTAAAGGATTTTTTGTATCCAAGCTTGTACTTAAAATAGCTGTGTGCTTACTCTACCTTCACTGTTTAGTCGTCGGCAGTGTAAAAGGGAAGCAGAGGTATGCAGGTGAACCCAAATCCTGTACGTCATACCGGCAAACACTGGCCGGACTCAATCAGTCTGAAGATCAGTGAAATCTGAAGTTCAACGTTAATGCAAAACAAATACGGTATGAAAAACACATGAATACTTTGCAGTTAAATATTCAATATTTATTCCAACATCTTATTTTTGCCACTGTCAACGGCAACACAGTATAATAAATAACATATATATATAAAATTAGGGCTGTCAACATAAATGCATTAATCTATGCAATTAATGTGGCTGAGATTAATGCAACAAAATATTTAAAGGCCGCGGTTGGAAAGCCTCCAGGTTAAATGTGGGAAGATTGTTGGCACTTCCAACACAGCCTTTAATTGTGGAGAGTTGAGCGCAAAGTGCACGAGGACACGATTAATTAGTTCATTTTTTTTAATCTATTGACAGTTAATATATATTATACTGTGTATAAATATATTATCCTGTGTGCATATATATATATATATATATATATATATATATATGTGTAGTTTATATATTTCAGTCGTCTTGTCTGCTTGAAGGCGATAAAATCCGTGCGCTTTGCTTCCTGCAGGATGTCATCCGACTGTCAATACCAGCCTTGACGAGAAGCTTGGGGCAAGCTTGAGTCTAGTTCAGGATGCTGATTGGCTACGTTTTATGTCACACATTTTTGTATTAAATCAGTAATCGGCTAAAGTGCTTCATTCATCAGGCATGAGCTTGTCCCGTAGCGCAGCTACCACACGCATGAAGACAAGGCAGCGACCTGCAGGAAAAGCTTTATTTTGTGCATATCTTATCTAACAAATATTACTGGGTACATTTCAAGTTTCAAAATAACAATTATTGGTATTTGTTGTGTTTTTTTATCATCTTTTCTTTCTTTTTTTGCCTCAGTGAAGGGCACTCCCCATGGCCCTCTATTGGCCAGCCGCCACTGGGAATAATCTCACTTTCAGCGGCGAATCGGTGAAGAGAACCCAGGGTCCTGTGACATAGCGAAGTATGTTACTGTGGTGGTGGGGGGAGGGGGGGGGGGCGTGGTTTGGGCTCAGCTGCAGAGGGGGGACAGCGGGGGGAGAGGGGGGGGGTTCTCATGGGAACAGGCGAGATTGGCCTCTGCTGGAGCCTGGTAGCAAATTTGTGTCTCTCCCTTCATAAAGAGTAGTGGTGATCCGGCTAGAAAAAAAAAAAGGGAAAAAGGCCGAGCAGACGGGGAGGTCTGAGAAGGACGGCTGTCTTGTTGCTGCGAGCACTTTGTGAATCAATAAAAGTGCCGGATGCACCAGCAAAGTGTCGGCGTCCGCCTCTGTCAGTACACCCAAAATGAACCCCGGCTAACCTCAGACGTTCTAGTTACAAAGAAGTGAAAGAAAGAAACGCGTCCTGGTTGCAGGGAAATGTGACGACCCTGACTTTGCCGCTGCCAGCAACGTTTTTTGGAGTATGGCGCCCAAACTTATTTCCAGCCGCAGAGTGCATCGCCCACTGTTTCCTAAGATACATAAAGGGGATTTAAAAAAGGGAAGGCCAGAAGGATGGTTGACTGAACTGTTGCCTGATGAGAACTGTGTAAAAATCACTATATTTGATGTCTGCTACCCCATCAAGACCACGGCCATAAACCCCCCTCCGAAGCATCAAATTCCCCCCGCACGCTTAAACTGTGCCCACGACCTGCTGTAGGGAATGACTCAATCCAGCTCAGCGGATACCCGGCAATACTCAAATACCTCTTCCTTTCAATTCACACTCTCGAGGCGGGGTGTTAATGGCTTACACAACAGATGTTTAGCATGCTGCGTTAGGGTCCATGTGAGCTGAAGCCACCCACCGTCTTCGACATGCATGACAACCTGTGACTCCGTCTCCGAGGCGAAATGAGCCCGCGTCGCACCTCTGCCGCTCGCGTGGACCAACAGAAACAAAACGGGCGTGTGAGCACGAGCGCACGAGGACGACGTGCAAAAACAGCGAGTTTGGGAAAGCGAGTGTTCAACACGAGGGGAACGAGAGGAGGAGGAGGGAGGCACAGAGGGGGAGAGAGAGCGACGGCAGCTTCCATCTGTCGGGGAGCCGCTGATGGGTTTTCCTCAGAGAGAGAGAGAGGTATCCACTTGGATCAGAATGTATGTATACACGCACTAATGCAGTAATGAGGGTTATTTGACAGAAGTGTGCTTTATGGCGACAATTAGAAAGGGGAGGAAAGTTGCCTCGTCGTGTGTGGAGCAGTCAATTTTATAAACAGCTGCTGTTTATCTTGGTTGGGATTGAGAGGCCTGATCAAGGCGATCCTAAAGAGACGCAGCCCGATTGAGCTACACAAGCACGCGGGAGGCGGGAGGGGAGAGGCACGGGGCTTTTCCTTTCTAACAATTAATCTCTCTGGTTGAGAATGTGTGCACAAAACGGGTCCAAATGCAGGGAGTATAAATACTTCAGCCCTGTAAATTATTTATATTACATCACAGGAAAAGGCCAAAGCCGTCGCAAAGGCTGGAACAGGTGTGATGCGTTCATTGGGTTGACACTTTGACCCCGAGCTTTTACATGAAAGGCCGACACGTTCTCTATTTTTCTCACGCAAGAGTTGATCTTGTTGTGGGTAATATTTCCACCTTATAACTTGCTGTGCAGTCACATCCACGCATTGATTGTAATCTGGTGGGATTTTTGCCTACCGCTGGCATCTCGCTGTATGTGTGCAAAAAGCCTCCAGGATGACAGTTTAATGCCGTATTCATCTCGTATGGGAAGGATGGTAGAAAAGTACCTGTCACTTCTACATTCAGCTGCGAACAACACCGTTAACCTCAGCTTAGGGGAAGTAACGGTATCACTGCTGTGAAGCTCGGGGTGATGGGAGGGATCCTGACATGTGAGACTTACAATTCTGTGGGTGTAAATATGTAGCTTTCTATAGAGAGATGTACATCACATTTTATGTTGAATTCATTTCTGGGCATGGCTTTTTTTGTATTGAGGAGCAGCTAACACATCTACAAAGTTAAGCTTTTCCACGAATTTTCAATGCCGCAAGCTAAATCTTTGTAAAATTGTAAAATAAGTAGCACACTTTTTTCAGCCACCCCCGCCGCATGGCTGCATTATTTTTTTTCATTATGTTTGCTTTATGTTTCATGTTTGCTAATCTTGCGACGCCGATGCAGAGTTGGACTGGATTGACTGGATCTACGTGATGAAATGAAAGAATGGTATCGCCTTCTAATCAGACGCCTCTCCTCCCCACATCGGTAACTGCTTTTGTAGCATTACAATCCCAGCGCTGCTCATTTAGCGGCTGGTTAGCTAGTTACCGCTAGCACGTGGACTGGTGCGCCATGCTCCTCGCCACTAGGGGACGACACCCGAGGCGCGAGTGAGTATCTGACATTCTAAGGTTGATGGCCTCTGCTCTCCCCACTGATAATAACATGGAGGGAGGTGGAGTAAAAAACAGTAAGCCCATCAAAAATCATCCCTTCTTAGCGACTGTAGGTAGCTGTCACCTTTTGTCAACGCAGGCTCTGCACGTGGGCGTCGTTTTACCTCTGAAGGCCACTTCTTTTATTGGGATGGGGGCGTTTTTTCTCTCCAAAAGCCCCCCCCCCCACCCCCATCTCTCCCTCCAATACACAAAATCATGTCATGCCTGATCTGACACACGATCATGCCTGACGTGGCGCGAGACACTCCACCCGAGTTGAATTGAGGCACGTGGCGTTTTTTTTTCTTCTTTTTTTTTCTTGTCTTTAAAATGACGTCACGGGCGCTCGGCGCGCAGGTCGTTTGTCAGTCTGAGAGACGACGGGAAGCAGCAGGAGACGGAGCAGCCTCCCCTCTCCTCTCCAACGACCAAACACTCCGCTCCCGCTCTCTCCAACTCCCCTGAAACAACTCCCGACCTCCGGGACTCTCCGTCGCGTCCCTCTCCTCCTTTTTATTTTCAGTTGCACCTATTTTTGTTTCCTTCTTCTTCTTCTTCTTCTTCTTCTCACTTATTCTAAACGTCAGCGGAGATGTGATGTATCTAACGAGGACCCCCTGCCAGCGGTGACTTGTCTCCTTCGTGCTCCAGAGAGCCAATCATCATCATCCTCCTCCTCGCCCCCCCCCCAAAATTCTCTGGACTTTCATCTGCCTTTTAACGATGTAGAAGAAGGTGCGCTTTTCCCTTTCGGCGACGACTATGCCCAACTGCACGTCTTTTTATTTGTGTTTCTTTTTTTTCCCGCTCGCCGCCTCTCAGACCGTTTTTTGTCCCCCGCGGTGGGATATAAGAGATTTCCATGAAGGCAAAGTTTGAGGGTACCTCTGTCGGCTCGCCCGCTCCTCACCTGTCCGCGTGCGGGCGCGCACCTTTCCCCGCGTGACAGAAAACGTTACCGCCATTAGGACAAGTGACGCGCGAGCTAAAAGAGACCCTGACTGTCGTCCCGGTGTGGGGGGGTTGGTGGGGGTCTCGGCGGCGTCGTCGGAGGGATTTGACGTGCGCAGCGTTGAGGGATATGGCTTAAAGGATGGTTGCGCTGCTGGCAGCCGGAGGACGCTCCGTCACTTGAGTGTTTCCATCAGATATTTTTTGTGTCGACTTTGGAGGAAAGCTGAATCTCTGGATGGGAGGCGAGCTGGAGGACTGAGTCGGACTCGGCAGCCCGAAAACAATGTGGATAAAACGGAGTGTTGCGCGCAGGTAAGACGCGGACGTTTCTTTCATTTTCAGGGCGGAAGAAATTCCAGTGGAAATTTGCAACGGAGACACGTAACGTTACATGTTCATTTCATAATTGACACGGCTGTTAGACATGTGTTTTTTTTTTTAAATCTGCGCCACTTCAAGTTATTAGACTGCTAGAATCGATGACATTTATATGTATCGATAAGTCTGGGGGGAAGAAGTGCAAATGTATTTCCGGTACTAAAGTTTTCGACTATACCGACTCTGTTTTTTCGTTGTCTTCTTGAGCCGAAGCGATGCCGCGACGGCGGAGCCTGTAATTCCGTCCGTTTTGTGATGTTTGAAGCATCGAATATGATCGAAAATGTCCCGTCCTGAACGCTGGGGGTCGCCAACAGCACGGTGCAAGCAACACGCGCGCGCGCACATTCACACACCTCTCTCCTCTCTCTCTCTCTCTCTCTCTCTCTCTCTCTAAACACACGTGTACGGCCGCACGCGCATCAGCAGCCTCGGGGTCTGCCGGCTCTTTCTTTCACTCACGAGAAATAAGCACGCGCAGGAAGTTTCTCATGCAAAAACGCCACATTCACAAGATAATTAGTCTGTGAAAAGTGTGTGTGTGCGTGCGTGCGTGTGTGTGTGTGTGTGGGGGGGTCAGTTCACCTGGGGGTGATCCCACGTGGAGGAGAGGACGTACCTCGTTCCTCACTACATCTACTCTGCTTGCTCCCTGTCTCCTTCCTGGTCTTAGGACCTAGGCTGAGATTAAAGGGATACTTTCTTTGTTTTTGTGATTAGCTAAGCTATTGTCCCCTTATATAACCAGTAGGGAGACTAGTTTGCAAACTAGTCTGCAAAAAAAAAAAAAAATTAACTCACAAATTAGCCATTAAATAGATTCCGAGGTGATGACACGCTGTGAAATGAGAGCGAACCCGGAATCCTTCTTGCCACCTGCTGGATCTCGTTCCCACCAGTGGCGCTAATTCTCGCCCATTTTTTTTTTTCTTCAGCCCTTCATTTATTATGCGTGACACACACGGTAGCTACATCTTGTAGCTGACCCTGGCAGGGTAATGGCGCTGTACACAGCAGTTGCGTAAGATGATGAAATGAAATGTATTTATGTTTCCATATCTGGAGATTGATCGGTGAGAGGCACGGAGAAACCAATCTTCATCCTTACAAATGTCTCCGTTGCTCGCTGACATGATATGGGATGCGGGTCGACTGGCAACTGAGGTTATGGACTTCTTGTCTGTAATAATTCACCTTGTTCCAGATTGTTTGTTTGTGATCAACCGGCTAAAGTGTCGTATTTGTCCGTGATTGCCCTTTGTCATGACGGCAGTGTCTGCTTTCAAACATTCCGTGCGTGGGATAAAGCAGCGCTTTCCAGTGTGTTTCCTTTCTTCAATTATGGGTTTTTAATAACAAGAAGAAGCCAGCAGTAATCGGAGTGCGGATACAGCTTCTGTACCTGTTGGAACAAAGAACACACCACCTACTGAAACTTGACAAGTGGGTGTAAATGCAACAGCACTGAGCCAGCAGCCTGAGAGGAGGGTGGATGGATGATGGATGATGGATTGGTAGATGGATGATGGATGGATGCCTCAGCATATTAGAGCTGCGAATGTTGAAGACTGACATTAGTTATTGTATGTACGTTTTCTCTTCAGCAATGTTAAATAGTGAGATAAAATAAACACAATAATATCAAAGTATGAGTGATTTGTCATGTTGACCACAATGTGATTCAGTATTGGGTGATATGGAAATATAACTAGTTTAACTCTACAGCCTAGCTTCAAAACATCTCACTGCAAAGTAACCTAGGAGACATTTTTACTGTAGTAGCGTTTCTAAGATCTGCAATAAAGTTTAAATTATCAGACATGTGGATGCTTTTTTGAATGTCAAAAAACAGTGAAACATGCCAATCAAAGCCTCCCGCAATTGATCTTGTCTATGTAGTTGCCCTAAGAAGACATGGAATGAACATTACTTAAATCAATGTTCAAAATGGGGGTCAATTATTTTCTATGAATGTATTTACTTCCAAAGTAAGGTCGGAGCACTCTTAATAAGTTGGTGGAACACAGTCGCTTGTTGAAAACCTTTTTTCATTTGAAGCATCAAAAACCAATTTCCCAGTCAACGTAATGGCAAGTATCCATCATGTGCATCTCAAAGATCAATTCACTTTCCCGTAATCGCCCAGGATTTGAACCAGCCTGAACCACGGGGGGGGGCTTAGTCTCTCCCAGGCTCGGCATCTCCGGGCTCAGTCCCTCGCGGACATCATCAGCGGGTTTTAGGTTCCCCGCGGTGAGCCGCCACAACGCCGATGTGCTGCAGATGCAATCAGGAAGACCTCGGCACGCCGCCGCTGTGGTGTTAAGGGACCCCAGTTGTCTTTCGGGGGGGCTTAACTTGTCACTTTCCACTCGCCTACGAGCGCAGACATCGGATCCAGGTGACCCCACACGTGTGTCTGACCTGTGAATAATAGGGAGGGGTTAACTGTGGTACAACAAGTGATTGGACGAGAGAGAAAAAGAGACGGGGGGGCTGAAATGATGTTTAGTATTCTGTCACCCGCTTGAAAAAGAAAACGCCTGCTTTGTATCGGAGTAATAGTGTAATTGGGATTACTGTCACTGGCTTAATGAAACAAGGTTTTCTAATATATTCTACTATAACACCGAGGTGTTATCTTCCGTGAGAAACCATCTCTCTTGCGCAAACACCCCTCAGTCGGAGGCAGCGGCGTGCGACCGGTCGGCGTCCTCGGCAGCTACTCCAGGAGCCGCGAGCCTCAGCGCCGCTGTGGACGGGTCCGTCACGTACTCACATATTCCTGTGATTTAGGTGCCATCTTAATAGCCTCTATGAGGGTTATTAGCTGGGCCTCTCTGGAGCGTGATTAACCTAATTTGCAGTGAAATAGGCTGCGTTGCCTCCCTGAGATCCTAGCCTCCGGAGATGTGTGTGTGTGTGTGTGTGTGTGTGTGTGTCGTAAACACCCTGTGCTCAGCAGTCTGTTTAATCCAGAAGGACCCAAACAGGTTGTCCCTGTGAAACCGCGTGAGAGACAAAACAGACATTTTCCAGCTGTTTGGAAATACAACCAAGAGAGAAAGACGAGGGAGGAAACTAGCTGATGTTCAGTTCAGTTGACACGCAATGTACCGACATTGAGACATTAGGACGTTTTAGCCTTTGTTGCTTGGTTTTTAATTCATGATCTGTTGGCAGATGTTTTTATCAAATGAAATAAATCTCTTTTTGGGATGTTGAAAAAGGATTCAGAGATTCTCCTGACAAATTAGTGTTAAATATGCGTTGTTTTGAGATGGATCAATGAGCCACTTGGACCAACAATGTCACTGCTGTCTTCCGCAGCTAAAAGCCCCTCATTCAGGGCCCAGCGGAGTGCCAGCATCCCTCAGCCTGATTGGGTTTAACGACCAGCTTGTCCAGTTTGGGCAACGTGAGAAAGTGTGACTTTCTATCGCACATCCATCCCGGTGTGAAGCAACTCCCAGGCCGCACACCAACGGTACGCAGCTCATACTTGATTCACGTAGCGGGCCTTCTGCTGGATCGATACCGCCTCTACAAAGGGTCCGGTTTATCCGTCATGGCTCTTCCCGCTAACCGTCCTTCTCCAGGCACCGGCGGGCGCCTCTCAGAGGTCCACTTTCCACAGAAAATACCTCATAAATGAACCAAACAAAGCTCTCCCCGGAGAATTGGGCCCAAATAAAACAAAAAAAAGTTTGTGGTGAGAAGCTGAGCTGATGGAGGCATTGTTCTGCTTGTCTGATGCTTTTTTGTTGTTGTTCTCTCTTTCTTCTCTTTGACCCTTATTCCCTGTGCTCTTTACAGCCCTGCTTATCGTCCTGAGCATGTGGGTCATGTACACTGCAGTGAGAGTAATTAATGGGATGATGCAACAGCCTGGCTGTTACTTCTAAGACCCCCTCACACCGCACACATAACTGGAATCCCATACTAAATTACTATTCGTGCCAACGGTGACGTCAAATTGAGGATCTAGCGCGTTCCGACTGCATAGTTTTTCGGAGTATAATGATCATTCATTTAGCAGGAAGTGGAACGTTATTATGCACGCCGCCCTTTCTATTGTTCTTACGTCTACCGCTTTGTTCTATGTTCCCAACTCAGCAATGCAACTATATATTTCAACCAGAGTAGCAGCTGCCACAGCTCAGCCTTAGAGGCATGGATGTTGTTTTTTTCTGTGTGTGTGTTGCACAGCACCGAAACATATTGAAGATTTCATAGGATGTTTGCCTCCCCGTGGGCCTGCTACACAGAAGCAATCCATAAATCTCTAGAAGTCTTCGGAGAGCCAGCTGTGATATGTATCTCCCTAATGTAGGATACATACCGAGGCGCGCTAAACTCCTACACCCCAAAGCCTGTCTGTCAAAGGCAAACACAACCAACGCACGGAGGTAATTCGAAGCAGGGTGCTGTTGTGTAACACATGTGACAAGGTGGAACGCGGTGTCCAGTGGAGGACAGGTGGGCAGTTGGATTGCGGCAATTTTCCAGTGAAGCCGCTCGTCTCAATTTAAGGAGTTCTGGATGACTGGATTCTGTTTTCTCCGTCGCACGAGTTCAAACGGGTCGCTGCGAAGGGGATAATGTACCGGAACTCAAAGTCACTCAGCGCCACGCATCTCTCTTGTCGGAGCAGCGTCCCAAGCAGACTTAAGCACCCATAAATCAGCTAATTAGCAGGTAGGAAACAGTGGGAATAAGTCATTTGCTACCCTGTGTATCTTGGCTATGGAGCGAGCCTTCACAGAGCCGTGTGCGCGTGCGAGGTCTGTCTGTGTGTACTTGCTTGGCTGTGTTTGCCCCGTCGCCTCGTCTCAAAGCTCTGAGCACACACTCCTCCAAAGCTCCAGCGGAAAGGCACTGCATATTCAACAGGCTGCAAATAGAGGCTCGGAGGTACCGCGGCTCCAGCGGAG